TCCATGATAATTTAGCTCAACAGGTTTAGTTTCATGTTTTCATTCAACCAACTTCAGTATAAGATGAACATCAGCAGCTCTGTGAGCGACTGAAACGTCCTTTACTTCTTTAGAACAAAATGCAGCTTAAACATAAACTCACCTTCTGCAACAACAGCTTTGAATTTTACGAATGTAGAAGGAGAGTCGCTCAGACCACATCTGTACAGTCCAGAGTCAGAGTGGGTCACATTAGAAACTCTCACAGTTAAATTATAAGACTTGTCATGAACTCTTTCAGAATATTCAATGCTGTTTCTTCCACTTGTTTCTTTATTAGACGTTGTGTTAATAAGAACGTTTTCTCCTTGACAGTTTTCTCTGCAGAAAATCCGCCTTGGTCCAGGTGAGAGAGAGCATGTAATGGAGAGGTCTTCTCCAGGTAGCCGATAGTAATGGTTAATTTCCTTGAAAGAACCACTGTTCCCAACCTGCAGAGCTAAAAGAGAAAAAGAACAGTTAATATCAGAACTTCCTGATAGAAACTACAATCTAACCACATTTTCTACATTCTTCAAGCCTACAGGCTGTACAACATCAGGAGGATTAAGAAAAGAAAAGACTAATTTCCTGAAATCAACTCAGAAAGAACAGAGTTCATCTGAATCCTGCAGGTTGTTCCTCCAACATGCAGCTGAATTAAATACTAGAACCTCCTAAAATCCTGTGTGAACCTAATCTGGTCCAGACCAGTGAATTACAGAGAGCTGTTATGTTCAACACGTCCACCAGAGGGCGCTAGAGGCTGGATTAGGAACAACAGATGTAGATAAATATCTGAACTTTTCCTAGTTCAATATAAACATTTAAACAGTCAGAAAATGATTCCATTTGCACAATAATATCATAATATTCATGCAGTAAAATAACATGAAGGGTTAAATTTGATAAAAGCAAAAGGATTGTTCAATAACTTGCAAAATATACAGAATTTAATAATTTATCTTGTCAACAACTAACTTTGAATCAGAATGAAAATTTTAAAACTGGCCAATCTAATGCAGTGATTACTGACCAAACATCAGGCTACATTTGATCAAACTGAACTTTTGGGAATCTCCAATGACACCAGAGGCCTTCATTTCTTCCTTTGAAAAGATGCTTTGTGGCCTTTATTTACAAGTTATGCAGGAGAAGCAGGGAAAGACAAAGGAACCAAGAACTGGAGTTGAATGCGGGTCGAGGTCCTTCGAGGCGCCGCTCCAACCACCGCGCCATGCAACGCCCCAGCAGAGGCCAGCTTACCTAAGATGACTAAACTCTGATGTCGGGTGACATGATCACAGCTACACGCATAAAATTCACCCAGAGATCAGCAGGACTGATCCAGGTTCTGCAAGAACCAGAACACCAAGCAGCAACTGAATTTATCTGCTAAGAACAAAAAATGATATGAATATTTATAGATCTGAGTCAGCGAACAGGACTTCAGCTTCTTATAAAACCCCACATCAGAAAACATCACAGCGGCATCATGCTAACCAGAAGAACGTGAGCTTCAACCGTTCTCGATTATCATCAAAGAATAAATGACAGCAGCTGATGAATAGAAACACCAAACACAAGAAAAGTCAACATGGCAGCAAAGACGAATAAAACACTGAAAATCAGAAGCTGTGTCTTACCGACCGTCTGTAAAACCCTCTGCTTTGTGATTCAAGACGGAGAATTTGGTCTGAGCTTTCCCATGACTGCTGCTGTCGCCACTGGCAACGTTATCACCATAGCAACCCGAAGCTTTCCTACATTTTCAGTAGCAAGGATGAAATTTACAGCAGTCAAAAAAACATTAAGATTGATGTTGATTGGTCAAAGTTTTATTATTTTTTTCCCTAGAAACCAAGCTGCCATTTCAGGAGTCACCAACATTCAGCTAAACTTTAATATTAATATTTGAAAATTCAATCCATTTCTATTGCATGAGAATGTTTGCATGGGTTATTTTCTAGATTTTTACCAACATAGGAACATTGGTGCCCATCTTTAGGGGTTGAATGTTGTGAGGCGGATCTGAACCAGAACCGTTCTGCTGTGAGAAACCGACCACTACTTCAGTTTCTCCATTCAATTAAACAAAATAAAAATAAAGTACTCACAGACTACAATGAAGCAGAAAAAGATGCGACTGGTCTTCATGTTGAATCTCTGATGGTTTCCTGCTTCGTCTCTCGGACCTCTACTTCTCCAGCTGAAGGAGGTTCTTCCTCAGATGTAGTAAAATCTAAATGGTCTTCTTATCTCCTCCCAGTTCCTGCTTTAAACTTTACCCTTCACTCCTCCTCTCAAGCTTTAGCTGCAGTTTTGTGTCTTCATGTCTTTACACAGTCAACAACATCTTTTGTTTTAGTGACTAAAATATTTCATAGAACTTTTAAAACCTGTTATGAAATATTATCCATCCATCTCCAGCAGATCGGATCATAGGATGACCAGTTCTCTCACAGGAACCGAATGTTTTGGTTCCAGTTCTGTTCCTCAGCCGTCTGATGTCTGAAGACCCCATCCTGCCCAGGAGGCTTCTTCCAGTGCTGAGGAGCTTAAAGTTAACCAGTAAATAAACAGCAATATTTTTAGTTTATTTAGCCAAAAATAAACCATTTTTCAGTCATACATTTACCATTATTATCACACACACACACACACACACACACACACACACACACACACACACACACGCGGTTGAACAATTTCTTTTAAGATCGACTACAACAAGATAAAAGTCGCGGTGACATCATCGTGAGCAAAATGCTTCACAACTAATTGTGCGTCACACAAACTCGTTTTGAGCGTCAGGCGCGTCTGGTTTACATTCAAAGCCCATGTGGAGGCGCATCGAGGGCCGTTGCGGCGCATTTCGAGCGGCATGATTTGAACCGTTTGGAGTGTTGAGCGTGTCCAACGCGTCCGACAAACCACATAGACGTTGAAGGTAAACCAGACGCGCCTGACGCTCAAAACGCGTTTGGTGTGAACGCATCCAAAGTGCACACAGTAGAACCTGAAGCGACAGTTTTTGACATGCATTGTTGTGAACACCGCAGGGTGCAGCAGGACTCCAAATGGAAACGAAGGAATCCAGTTCCAGTCCAGGTGGGAAGGCTCGCCGTCGAATTCCCAGGAGGAATCCACCTCAGGAACAATCCAGCATAAAACCCTGACCTGTCAACAGACCGGACCAGCAGAAATATAGAATTTTATTAAGCTGTTCTAGCCTTAATCCTTAAATCATGTTGCTATAGACACCATATCTGACATCAATTTATCAAATTGCTCCAATTTCCAATAAAACAATTCTCTTTTACCTCAGTTCACTTTTTGTAAATTGTAAAATAATTTTTCAAACACAATATTAAACATTACATTTTACCCAAAATCAGTAAAAGTTTACATTTGAATAATTAAGTAGTTAAGATAAAGGCTGTTATTCAACAACAATGTGATAAACAGAACCAAAACCCAAATGAAAGGCACAGAATATGCTCACCGATCTCAATGCGACATGTTTGGGACAACAATATGGTGGCTCTCAGTCCGGACACATGGGCCACTAGATGATGTAACAAGGCATATTTTTCATGCTTTAACCTCAATAATATCAACTTTCATCATGAATAAATTACGAATATATTATATTTTAGGCTTTACTTTCAGCTGAACGGAGAACGAGATGAACATCCAGGAAACCAATAGGCAATAAGAGCAAACGAGGCTAACGAGGTAGATGCTAACACCGACTAGCAGTCTGACAGTGGCATGGCAGCCACTGGGCAGCTGTGGCTACTATGAGTAGCCGTAGTGTGAAGTACTTTGGGTCGTCTGGACTTGATAAATGGGCTAAAAGTGATTTTGGCCATTATTTCAGGAAAGGTGATGGTTTTGATTTTTTGAAGGTTGATATTCCTTTTTGTGCTTCTGTGCAACACTTTGGTCAGTGTTGCAGGTGTTTCTAAATGTGCTACGGAAATAAACTTGAACTTTGCGCTGCCTTGATTCTGTTGATTTATTTTTATAATGCAGCTGATTGACTCAGATTGGCTTAACTAGTTTTAGGCTGTTTGATGTATGCATGTTGTGTGTGAAAAGTTTTATACGAATACAGTTTGGTTTCTTACTCCTTAATGCAATCTGAAGTTTTTATTTTCTCTTCCCACAGTGGCTGGTATTTTGCTGTTATTTTTTCATTTTGCACTGAATCCATTTGCAGTCCCTCTGATGAAAGCCCAGGTTGCATGTTGTAACAGCAGTCTGCAGGGCTGAGCCTTTCAAACAACCAAATTAAACCTGAGGTGAAGCGTTTGCAGGCCTTTAGTGTTTGTAGGAGCAGAGCTGCAGATTCTGTTTGTGTTCTTGTGTTTCTGATCGTTGTCTCAGCTTCAGGTTTCCTGCTGATCAGTGAGGATAAACATGGCAGCAGCAGAGCTGAAGCTCAGTTATAGCACAGCGGCTCATCATGGCTGCTTCCATCCACCCGAGGCTCAGCGTAGAAAACATCAGCCATCATTCACTTATGGTCTACATAAAGTAAACTTCAATGTGTTGGTCTGAATTCTTGGCCCTCGTTTACCAGTCCTGAGGCGTTTTACAGAAACTTGTTTTGCTGCGTCTTTTTTAATGTGATTGAGACATTTGACGCCCCAGCCCTTACAGGACGCACAGTGGTCCACTCCATCCTGTTCAGCCGTTTTCCTGGTTTGATAACAGTGACATGATTATCGACCGGCAGAGAAACTTTAATTTCTAAAGTTTATTAAAGCTGTCAACAACAGAAGACTTGTCCATCCATCATGTTGGCGCCAGAGTCTGACCCAGAGAATGAAGACGACCAACCTGCAGAACCACACATCACAATGGTGTAATTACTGTATTTACATCCTCTCCATTCATACCTACTATCTACAATATGCAGCGTAGTTCAGCTACAGTGTCCAGGCATTTCAGACACCTTTTTAAATATTAATGCCAACACAGTATTAATGACGTAATTGTAGTATGACTATGAATCATGTCACTTTTGCAGAACACATGATTTGGATCATGGGTCTGCAAGACAAAAACAGAAACAAAAACCAAATAATTATATCCAAAACATGCAGTACAGTTTTATCCTACAGGAGGAAGCTAACAGCTAGCATACAGCACTAACAGAAGCAGAAGACTCAATGCTACTATCAAACCAACGGCCAGGATGTTGCCATCACCACAACATTCATGTCTAAAATAAGCTTTGCTGTCATTTTAGCGTTACTAGTGCTTTGCTGCGTCCCTCGTTTCTGTAGGCAGAAGGAACTGACCTTCAATCAGATGCAGTCTTTTGAAAATCCCTGTCGATACCAGCAGAGGTTCCTGAAGCTCTCATCCTTCAGTGCTCTGTACAAACAGACTTCCCCACTGATATGAGAACATTCCTGAGAAAAACAAAATTTAACCGGACACCTTGTAGAGCAGGGGTGTCAAACTCCAGTCCTCTGCTGTCCTGCAGTGTTTAGATGTGCCACAGGTAAAAAACAGTGGAATGAAATGGCTTAATTACCTCCTCCCTGTGTAGATCGGTTCTCCTGAGCCTTGCTAATGACCTAATTATTCTTTTCAGGTGTGGTGCAGCAGAGGCACATCTAAAAGTTGCAGGACAGAGGCCCTTGAGGACTGGAGTTTGACACCCCTGTTGTAGAGGCTCTGATGTAAAGGTGGGGTGATTACACACTCCAACCAAACAGTTTGTCTACTAACTGAACCTGGACTACAAAATCACTGTAGGAAAAAACCCCAGCAGATTCACAAAACTTATTAGCTGAAACCATGACCTTGTTTAGCAGTTTCACAGCAAATACTAGAGAATTTTCTTATTTCTCTATAACAAAAAAAGTTATAGAGAAAAATGACCAGACTGAAACATATAACCGCAAAAGAGCATCAAGATATCTACGCAGCACAGAGCAATTAAATACAAAACATGTATTTAAGGGCTGCTGATTATCAAACAAAATTCATAAAAAATCTGAGGAAGTTTCACCAGGACTGGACTGAACCTGGAGTCACATGGCACCAAAAGCTGCTCAGGTTACCATGGAAACAGCAGGTAGCTGCGCTGATCAATAACCCACAGAGGATGTATGGAGTATTGATCAGAGGAAGATGAGAGACACCAGAACCAACGATGCAGATGAGCTGAAGGTTCAATCAGAGCAGCCTGGACTTCCAGAACTCTGATAAAATATTATTTTTATTCATCTGAGAAAATAAATTTTATGTTTTAATTCTGCAAGTCCGAATAATCAAAATGACAAGAAATAAAGGAAATATTTCACTCTATATATGTAACATCTGAGTTTCTCTTTGTGAAATGAGGGACAAAATTATTATTATTTTTTCTCACAAAATATTTGTTTTAGCTCCACGTGTATCTGATCAGTTCTCCTTCTGGTTGTTGCTGGGAGATTCAATGTTCTCATAAATCAAGTCTCCAGAGGGGCTCTGCTTACGGGCGACAGTCTAGAAAGAATAATAACAAAACATCAGACAAACTCAGCCTGCATAAGCCAGATGCAACATTTTGATCCAATTTTTAATATTAGAATAAATCACCTTAGTTGGCTGCCATAGCCTCTCATCTCCAAACCTGTGGAACAAATACTTATTTATTGTGATAAATTATTAAAATCACAATTTAGATCAACAAATTTTCAGTTTTGAAATAGAAAAACAACAAAGATAAAAGAACAATCAACATCATTTAAAACAAATCCAAAGTATTACAAAGCATCTAGAGCATCTAGGGCGTCAAACTCCAGTCCTGAAGGGCCGCTGTCCTGCAACTTCTAGATGTGCCTCTGCTGCACCACCTGAATAGATTAATCAGTAATGGTGGGTAGATGAGGCGTCATGTATCGTTTCGACCCAAATCAAAACTGTATTGATTCTGAGTCAATACTGACACCTGCTGGACATTAAAAATTCCTACAGGCAACGTAGTGATTTGATGACTACTACAAAGACTTATGATTTAAGCTGTTGTATTTTATTGTATATTACATATTTTATTATGTCATATCTTCAGTTAAATTTAAAATATATTTGATATTCTTAGATACAATGAATAAAGAATGTGAACATGAACCATAAAGTGAAAATTTAAGTGAACGTGTTTGAATGAGGATGCTTGTGGATTGTTTTTTTTTTCTCACAAATTTTTATAAAAAAAAAGTTTTTACAACATTTTGAAATTTAGCCTGTTACGCTTTTTTGACAAAACTTCTCCTGCTGTAGAAAAAAACAAAGTAAACCCTGTATTTACAGCGAACCCTTGTTTTTCTTAGTGGTTGCTTTTCGAGAATAACCCGTGATAGGCGAAATCCATGAAGTATTTACCTTTATTTTTTACAGTTATTGCACAGCATAAATAAATAGATTGAAACCAAAGAACAAAACCTGTTTTCAGATCAGCGGATGTTCACCAGTCGGGCCTTAATGTGATCCGGAGTCGTGTCATTAAAGCGTCTCCTCCAACCTGCCCCGAGACTCACAGCTGTATCTACGGCAAAGCGATGGATCTTGTTAAATGAGCCTCCGGTCGGGTTCTTCTGCCTCTGGCCAGTTTTTTCCAGCAGGCATTCAAAGTTTCAGTTTCCATCTCCTGAATGGCCAATCTGTATTAAATACCGTAACTTTATTGGCACTCAGGTAGAGAAGAAGCGCGGAGACTGTTTATAGCAATAAGGTCAATCAGGATGCAGAACACTGTGAAAAAAAACTGCACAAAAAAATCTGC